AACGCCGCCCCGTGCAGGCTCCCCATATGCACGACCCATCGTGGTCTCACGGGACTGGCACAATAGAAAACTTTTGGACTGGGAAGGGAAGGAACTTTTCCAGTTTCCCCAGCGCGTCGAGACATGAAAGCGTTGTGTTACTGAGCGTAGTCAATGAGCTAAGCCTTGGAGAGAGGGACTTTAATGAAAATATTTAATTGGAACAAATATTGTGTGGTGAATGGGAAGTTTGTTAGAAGGAGCGGCTAATTTGCAAGGAAAGCTGCAGCTTTCTGTATTTGGCTCATGTTCTGCCTGCTTCCTTTCTGCTAACCTTTTGCTGAGTGATACAAGTCCTTTGGTTCCTGCCCTTCTGCCCTGGACCAAGGGTTTCCTTTTGCTGTTCTCCTCTGGGCACTGTCTTGGTCCCATTCCTTCTACGATCCAAACCCCCGCTCTACCAGGTCACATCCTTTTGGGAAGGCAAGGACATCGTGAGGGATCACACTGCTCTGGACTGGGGAATGCATCCCCAGCTGGCTCTTTACCATCTGAACCTTTATGCTCTCTGAAAATATGGAACACAAAAGGGCCAGAAAATTTCCATAGCAAAACCATAATTCAGGCCCAATTGTGGGTAGGCTGTCCAAGGGCTGATATTTTTTATTGCTTCCTGGTGACATGCCGCGAGCCTGTGCTGTGTAATACAGCCATATAGAAACCAATGCCACTAGTCATAATTCATTAGATAGTAAATAAAAATTCATTCTGATCTGATGCCTGCCGTCAAATCCAATAGCGAATGTGAGAACAAAATGCAGCGTGACAGCTGGAAGCAGAGGAGACCTGTTAAGCAACCGTGGTTTGCTGGATAACGGCATTACTCTTAGCTAGTTTACCAAATACGTACTTAAGAGGGGGAAAGAAACACGATTGTCACAGCTAAGCCAGCATCTCTGGTTGTTCTTAGTATTTGCTGCCTTCTGTCCCAAGAACGCTCCTATCTGAGGCGGCAGTGCTGGCCATCCGACATGCCCGGGCGCTGGTGGTAAACGGGCGACTCGGAGCTTCCCTGGAGCTCGGGAGGTGCAAACCTCCCGTGTCCTCCAGCGTGCAAAGGGAGCAGGGGGGGACAGGGGACCTGGCTGGGCAGCTGAAGCGGAGGAGCTCGGCCGGGACGAGCAGCAGCCTCCCGGGCACGGGGAACACGTGTGGTTCCAGCCGGCCCCTGGCAGCCTGCTCAGGAGCGGTAGCGTCGGGGGATGCCGCAGGGCCCTGCGGTGCAGGTGTACGGGCATCACGGTGCCCTGGCGAGCCCAGCCCGCATGCAGGGGCTCTCTGGGCCCTTGCTCAGCTTTCCAGAGGGACTAGCAGATCTGTACTGGGATGCTGTGAATTTTCAGAAATAGCAGGTAGCCCTGAGATTTGTGGGTGGAGGAAAACAACAGGCTTGCAACTCCTACCAGGACAGTGGTGACAATTAGAGATCTGTTGCTCAGCGAGTCCGTCACATTAGGCCCTCGTCCTTTGGAAATTTCAGTGATGTTCAAACCCTCAGAAGGGCTCCACGCTCCAACCTGAAACGAAGGAAGCAAACGAACGCATGAACACCCAGCTTACATCCCTCACTTGTTCTCAGCATCCTACTGGCCTGGAAAACGGAGCTTGCTTCTTTAATCTCCAATAAACAGAAGCAAACCTGAAATTAGCGTCTTGTATCAGCTAAACAGAAGGTTTGCATTAACCCTTCAGCTGCAGGTCACTCCAGCTGCACACGTATAATCAACAACCCCCATGCTGCCCTCTGATGCAGATGACTGGAATTTAGGGGCCGAATGAACAATTTGCAAAGGTACTGTGTAAAGCAAACAATCAAACCGTGCTGAAGAGTCAACTCTGGGCAAGGATAAAGCAGAACAAAAGAAAAAAATCCACAAATATGAGGCCATTTTCTTTTTTTTAAATTTTTTTTTTATTTCCCCACCGATTTGCTTTGGCACAGGCACAGCCACACACAGCTATGTTCCTCATCAATTTGAGGTGCTCTGTTTTTCTCAAGCTATCAGTTTTAATAAATTATTAGACTTTGAAGAAGTCTATTGATCCAGAAATAGCAAAACATGTGTCTGTTTAAGAGAAGTCATCTGGGCAACTCTAAGCCTGTTAACCTGATCTCCGCAGTGCAGGGGAGGCTTTAGAGCAAACTTTGAAGGCAGGACTGGCTAAAGGACTGTGACGGTGAGATAAAATGTCAGGAACGCCGAAGGAATACGGGATTGCTGCCAGGAAACGGCGCAGCGTGGCCATATAGCCAGCCTGACAGCGAGAAAAAACAAAACCCCACACGGTAATAGGAGCAGAACGGTTCATCTGTAGGGTCAAACTGTGAGACGGGACTCGGAGAGAAACCAAAAGCAGGCAGCTCAAACCCACTTGGGAGCCAGGAACTTCCGATATTTTATTTATTGCTATTTTTAAGATTCTTCAACCTCTTCAGCAGTCCAAGGAGAAAACTTGGTTTTACTGCAGCCCCAAAAAGAGACTTTGTAATGAGCAATGCTGCCTGGCAAAAAAATGTCATAAATTCTAGAAGAGTTTCCATGAACTTTGTGAAAGGCTCTAAATATTTCAGGTAAAACCTAAGCAATCCCCCATATCTCCCTTCGATCACACAAGAGCTACAATGTCAAAAGATTGTTCTTGTGCATGGGAAAAGAGAAGCAAGCGAAGAGGCCCCTGCTAGCAGCGCTGCAGACTCAGATAACTATGCCTTGCTAAGTTTTCTTTAAGAAAATTAAATACATGGCACTTAAGATGGAATTAATCAGTTTAAAATATTAAAAAAGGGAAGAAAAAGGAAAAAAGTGCATTAAGAGAACTGTGCAAGTCAGATAGTCAAACTACATGTAATTAGGTTTGGTTAATACTCCTGTAATCCCTGGAACATCCAGGAGGTATAAGGATCAGGAGTTCAATCCTAAAGCTCAACAAACATAAGCTATTATACATAATGCACAATCCGCATGGGATTTGTTTGTAGTTTGGCGTTTTGTTATTTCAGATTAACTATTGACAGAAACCTAGCTTCAGCAGAGATTTGACATCGATACTTTAAAACCCCTCTAGAGCTGACAAGAGGCTTTCAAAAAAAAAAAAAAAAAAGTGGGATCTGTGAAATCTCTGAATTGTTGGACACCAAAGCCGAGCGGCTGTGCAGAGCACGCATCGAGGTTTGCTGGCTTCCTGCGGGCTGTATGTGACACCCAGCAGCAATAAATACAGCTGGTGCCAGCGGTTCTCCAGTACACCTGAGGAGTATTGGTTTGACGGACAGATAGTGGGGTTGTACTTAAACATTTAGATTCACATGATATCCAAACACTCGTACGTTTTTCTGTTATTCTACCAGCACAGCTCTCTGGCAGTCCGACGGTGCCACTGTACTCCAGAAAGATGGGTTGGTGTTTTTAGTTTAGACTCTATAAATATTTTGTAAAAAAAGAAGTCAGGCTCTGTGAAGATCGTCTCCTGCTCAGTTCTTGTGAGAAGGTGGTGTCTTCCCCTGCTCCTCTCCTGCCTCCTTCCTGCACAGGCTCGGTTGATCGCAGCTGAGACTGAAGGTCATCGGGTTTATTTGAAATGTTTTCTTTATTTTGTATTTGACACCAAAAAATACCCACTAGGAGAGTGCTGCGGTGACCTTGAGATTTTTTTACGTGAAGCAGAGAACTACTGCTGTGGTGTGAAAGTGTGGCAGCAATTTATTTCAGAGTGAAGGAAAAACGAACTGTAAAAAAGGGGGATGAGGAAGTCAGGCCGTTTGGTCCCTGGGAGCTTCACTGCGCAGGATCCGTCCCCTCTGAACGGGAGGGTGGATCAAACTGCTGCCTCCCGCCTCCGGGGCTCCCTACCTGCCCTGTTCGATTAATTCCCTGGGAAAGTCATCTGTGCGCGTTGGGCCGCTTGCTGCACGGTTAATTGAAAGCTCCCTCCCTCTGCTCCCGGCTGGCATTTCCCACGGTAGCGTAACCTGTCTGCATGCCCGACGGTTACGGCCTCGGCGCTCGTCCCTGGCTGCCCGTCGGCACCTCGTGCGTGTCGGAAAGCAGCCTCTGCTCTGCAGCGGGATTTGCTGCCCGGTCCCAACTTTCTCCTGTAAATCTGCAAGAAGCTTTTAGCAGGGCGGGGGCTCGGCATTGCTCACAAAAGGGGTCAGGCTCCGGGAGCCCTCGGTGGCTTTGCGTGCCTGGCCTCGCGCGCCGTTCTCGGGAGCCGGTTAGAGCAGAGCCCTGGGGCTTGCTCGCTGCTGGTATCAGCTGTCCGCTGCGCAGTGCTTTCTTCACCATGCCGCTCGCTGCTCTTTTTTGTCTTCAACAAACTGATCTCACCTTGAAACCCCTGTTCTAGGAGCTTTAATGCTTTGCATATTGCCTTTTTTTTTTTTTTAAAGTAATTGAAGACAAGAAAAGGAAATGAAGTCCTCATGAACACCTGAGAATCAGATTTGCACATCAGCATCGTATTTCTGTGCCCAGAGGAAATCTGCGCTAATTAGGAGGATCTGAGGCTGCTACCTTCGTGCCGCGTTGCCTCTGGGTGGCTGGGCAAACGGCCCCGAAGCAGACCCCTCCAGCCAGGCAGGCAAAACCACACTTTGCTTTTTTTCTTACTGTCCCTTAGATAACACAGAGAAGGAATAAACAAAAATACACACTACATCCTCCTGCAAAATCTGGGCCGTAATAAGCGGGTGCCATTTCCAGGTCTCGGGCAATTTTCCTTGTGGGAAGTCACACCGAGATGATGCTTTCAAGAGCTGGTGCCTCCTCAGGGAAAATCAAGCCCAGCAAGATGGGGGTGGGACAGGCTTTATTCCTTCCACCTTTGGCCTGAGCACGGAGAGGTTAATGGCTGCTCAGAAAGTTTCTTCTGTGTCCACTATCTCAGCAAAGTGCCACAAGCACTTCTGCAGCTAGTAACTGTAATCCCACCCACGCACCTCGCTTCGGGGCTAGTGACTCATGGTTGAGGCATGGAAAAGGATCTGAGAAATCCCACAAAGTAAATATCCTTTTGTATAAAAACCAGAAAATATGGAAACAATGCATCCATCAGCCATTTTCTCTGTTGCCTGAGTATCAGAGTTAGACTAAGCCATATGCAGATAAGACACACCCTGCCTACCTTTTCGAGACCGTCTTCTTTGAGGCTGATGACATCCAAATCAAAATCTGTCCGTAATCCGCTAGTTTTATTAAAGACAATTCGTCCCGTTAATCCTTCCCATTGGGCCTGTGGAGGGGAGAAAAAGTAGCAGGGCTGTTACTTGGTATCATAAACAATCTTTTGCCCTCCACTGTATGTTCTTTTAATTAGTCCTTATACTTGTTCCTGCTCCCTAAAGAGCATGATTAATTAATAATCGCCTCCGTCACTGTTCAGACTGCAGACAGAGCTGGAGATTTTCTTAACTCTCTTGCAGTCCTTGCTACAATTTTTGTTCGCACCTTTTGTGTTCACCAGCTGTTGCAGGACGTGATGACTCAGTAGAAAACTGCTTGCATTTATCATGGCATCCTTGTGTGCCGCATTTATCCTTGTAGTACTGATAAATGCCGGGCTGCAGGGAGCCTGGGTTTGGGACGCCTCCAGTCAAGCTCACAAATAATGCTTTTTTGCGCAAACCCGCTGATGCTTCCAAGGTGTGTGGGTGCTAAACTTTCCTGAACAATGCCCTCCTTCCTTTCCGACGGAAGGTGGAGCAGCAGAGGCTAAGGGCTTGTCCATGCTAGCAGGCTCTGTCGTTTTGAATCAGCCCTGGGAGTCTGGTGGGTGCATGCTGCGGCGGTTCCCCGGTTCAGGTTTTGGCAGTATAAGCACGGGGCAGGTGCCCAAAGGGACCGGGGAAACCCCATCCCTGGAGGTGTTCAACGCTTGACTTGATGAGGTCCTGCACAACCTGGTCTGACCTGGGAGCTAGTCCTGCTCTGAGTTTGAGGTAAAGGTGTCCAGATTAATTTCAACCAAAATTATGCTATGATGCTGTTTCTTTTCCACCGTGCACTTTGCAGCACCACCAGAATGAATCTCTCTGATTTAGGGGGTGAGAGCGCCCCAAATATCAGATGCTAGCTGTGTTAGCAGAGCAGGTGCTAAGGGACAGCATGGTGTATGCCTGGGGACAGTGCCGGGACGTGCTGTAAGCATCTGTCCCAAGGAGGATGGTCCCGTAAGGGTATCAGGCTGCTGACATGGTTTACCGCTTTGCAATCGCAGCTCGGCAGTGGAGAACTGGGACTCGGGCGCTTTCCCCTGAGCAGTTCAGACCGTGTGCGCTCCTCTCTGATGAACCTGTTTCCTTGATGAATGGGGGAGCTTGAGAGATCCCAGTGTGATGAAGGTGGTATATCGTATTCTCGGGGGGGAACGACTGGCATGTTTCCCAGTAAATACGCTCCTCTGGCTCTTCCTCATTAATTCCTGAGGCGTAATGACAGCCTCCTCCCAGCCTCACCACCCATGAGTTTTGGGGAAGGCTGTGCTCCGTTTGCTCCCTTTGGCGTGCAGGTGGTTTGCCTGTGGGACGTGCAGCCCCCCGGGAGCCAGGGAAAACACGGAGTGTTTAACGTGCCCAAGGGAGCGAACGCAGCTGCGTGCTGAGCCCTGCACCTCTGCGGGGCCAGAGGCGAGAGCACCGACGGGCTCCTGGAGCCAGACTGGGGGTGCGTGGCATCACCGCAGCCCCCCACGGGCTCTGATCCCGCTGGCGTCAGCCCCGTCTCCGCAGGCAAGCTCCAAGCGCCTGCTGTCCGGGCCTCTGGCAGGCGGTGGC